CCAATTTCCAAGTCGCCCAGAAAGATCCAGGAGCTTCGGCCGCATAATTTTGCTCAAGCCAAAATCCGTCACCTGGATCCGCTTACATGAGCTCTCAGAGCAAAATGTATTGTGCAGCCCTCAGCTGCCTTCAAGTCCAATCCTTTCGTCAGCAGGAGGTTGAGAGGCTTCAGGTCCCGATGAATGATGGGTCCTTGAAATGCCCGAACATTTTGAACTTCTAGGTGTCGGGAACTTTGCAAGGCTTTGGGATACCGGCTTGCACAACCATGCAAGAATGCCAAAGCCCGAGCTGTTGAGAGGAACCAAGACAATGCGACCTGCTTCGAGAATTTGGCCCGCTTTCGGGTGTCAGACATCACAAGGGCATTCGGGGTCCCGACATGGTATGGAGGCTTGAACTCCTTGTTGCTGGCTTTGATCCGATTGGATCGCATGTATGTCTCCACATCTCCACCCTGGATCTCCAGTGACACAATAGCAATGGCACGAGCTACAAAAGCCAATGGGGGCCTCCATGTACTCCGTGAGGAAGAAGCAGGTATCAGTGTCCAAGCCTAGGCCAAGCCGCTCAACGGACTTACTGTCTCTTTCCGCGGCATAAGCGCCCTATCAAAGACAGCCACCCCTGAATGGCGCCCCGCTTGTAGGGTTTTTGGAGGCATGTCGGAGTTAACAAGAGCCTGCGTACAGTAGACGGCACAGGCAGTCCCCGTACCTGCGCGCCCATCCACGATTTTCTGCGGAGGGGCTCGGCTGCAGAACGTTCAGAACTCCAAGGACTGTTCCCGGTGTGGGGATTTGTTTGCTCGCAACGGTGAGTGCTCGAGAGACAGCAGGCAAGCTGTATCGGCAACACACACACACACAGAGGAGGGCGAAACCTGCTTAGATTATCGGGCCCGCAAGCCTGTTGCCTGCGGCAGGCACACAACTCTGTTGGTAACGTTCGTTGAGTTTGTGCCCTCCTGACACTCACTGATTTTGCCAGATTGTCGTGCAGTGGCCGGCCTTCCACAGAAGCCTCACTCGGGTCACTTTTTGGATGGCTCATGATGGCTCGCGACGCGGAGTTACCCCCGTCAACTTGCAACTTGACTTTGCTGTTTGTTCTGCTCATGCGAGCAGGCTCTTGTCAAGCCCGCTCTGCGGTCTTGGCGTGCTGGTAGGGCTGATTCTGCAACCTTAGTGCGGCCCAGTACCCACGCTCCTAGTTGGTCGCGTCCCCGGTCGGCTTCCTGTCTCTGTTGGATCGGCGTGGCTGGCACCGAAGAGCTCGCTGCGCAGGTGTTCACCACTGGGTCATATGCATGTGTCAGACTCTTGTTGGCGCCCTCTGGAGCAAGGGATGTGCCTCCGTGCTTTGGTCTGTGGTGTGCACTGCTGCTTTGTACCGGTCCACCTTCTCTTTCTGTTGTCTACGCTTAAGAAGGAGGACGACGAGGCACGGTGTTGAGTCAATGCAAGAGCTGCCTTCGAATGCGCCCAGTAGGCGTCCAGCTTGCACCAAGGAAGAGCACGAGATCGGGATGCCGGAGAGTGGACAGGGTCCTGCCGGCGTCAGCATGACATGGGGATGATGGCGTTGAAGCAATGCAATGCCATAAGAATACCACATGTTCATGCATTGTTTCGGGCCTGATCTCATGCAGCAGCTCGTCCCGTGCAATTTGGACCTCAGCTTCGCAAGTAGAATTACGTGTCGTGTCACTGTACTTCGAAGCTGATGAAATTTGAAAGACTGAATGCAACGACCCATACGACACCAATTCTTCGTGCTGACGGAGCGGCTGTAGAGTCGCTAGCTTCTTGCGCACGGCGTGGATTGAGGCCGGAAGCCCTTGGTGACTTGAAAGCGCTTCCACTGCTGCTAGCTGTCCACCTCACTTGTAAGTGCCAGCCTCACATCCTTAACAGTTTTTGCCACCACCTGCCACTTCAAGAGACAAGCATGCTACAGCAAAGCTTCACGCTGCCCAGCCTTCAACCCACGCCACGTGGCCAAGTAAACTGCACTCTTGATGGTTGTGGACAAACACTTTCCGAACTGTACCTTCATCCAAGATACGCGTCAAATGGATCAAGCATGCTGAGGGTAGCTGTCCGATTCATCAATGTACCCAACACGGACTGTTCTGCATTCACTTCACCTCCGAGGCGACAATCGACCAGTGCTCAGACGCTGCCATGGTCTTGAGCGCCTGCTTTTTCACAATGTAGCACACTCATAATACGAGTAGCAGGCATGCGACGGCAGGGCCTCGAAGTCTGTGTTTTTCTGACCAGCAGCCTCATCCAAAATGTTAGTTCCTGCTGCTCCCAGCGCCCTGATCACCTTGTGTGTCAGCAGCGGAGCGCAAGAACGCCAAGACTGAGATCCCCCCAAAGAAACAGAATACGCTCGTCCGAGCGACCGCTGCATCGTTGTGCTGGAAAGCCTGGCAGGGAAGGCCAGGAGCCCACAGAGAAGACCCGCAACTGAACACCTCGTCCACTGGCGTCTTGCCGAAGGAATCGTGAGCTGTCGGATTAGCCTGCATGGTACCATCAACAGCGCAGACACGATGCTGACGTTGGTGGGTGACAGAAGTTCGTTTGTGAGGAGAACCGCTTGTATCGGCGAGTGGGCTAGAGAAGCAGCATGGCAATCTGTCGTCCTTCGCACGAAGCAGCATGCTGACCACCTGCTGGCAGCTCGGAAACTCACATCCATCAATCAGCCGCGCATTCTTACATGCAAAGCCTCTGCGTGTCCACGGGCTGCAGCTATGTGCAGCGCTGTGCGACCATCGTAGTCGGGCGCCGAAGGGTTGGCCCCGCTCTTCAACAGCTTCCTGGAGCGACCAGACTCTACGGATAGTCGTCGCGATCGTCGAACCGTCGCACAATGGTTGTACCGAGTGTCTCAATCTGCGGCAGCCACCCAGTGGCAGCCTGCCCCCAAAGAGCTGGTCACAGAAGACGGCATGTTCAGCGCATGGCCCGGGCTCGTCCGAGGCTAGGACAGCAGCACAAAGCATGGCTGCGGTCTCCATGTCAGACCTGTGAGACATGAAGAGGTTGCCAGCTTCTGGGCCTGTATCCACAGCCCCTGACGTTTGTCTTTCAAAGTTGCCGGACGTGATCTCTGGAGTTTGTGCGTCGGCTGGTTTGAGCAATGCTGCCACCTGCCGAACAGCCGCTCGCGCATAGCGCAAATCCTTCAGTAACCCAGCCTTGCTGTGTCCAGCTCGGAGTGCCTCGTCCAAGGGCGTGTGGCCCCAGCCTTCAGTTTTCACATGAAGTCAGACATGGTGCTGGTGCTTCACTTGCCAGAAATCTGAGGCCAAGACGATCAACAACCGCCATGTCCTACAGAAAACTGGCTTTCCCAAGAGCATCTTGCACTGTAGCAGCGGTTGACAACTACGATTAAGCAGAGTCCCTGGCTGCTTTATGCGACAGCAGGAATGCAACGACCTCTCGACAGGCTGTGGCTTTGGTGCTGCGAACAATATTTCAATGCCGGCTCGTGATGCCCACCCTCTGCTTCGCCTCGTCTCGGCCTTCGGCAGCTGCGATGTGGATGGCCGTCCGCCGGTCATAGTCACCTCATTCGTGAAATCCGCGATACGAGGATGATACGGACTGCAAGAGGCAGCTGACCTGCGTTGACGTCATAGCCTGCTTCGAGGAGACTCTTCAGCTCGGGGATATCGCCTGGCTCACTACCGAAGGGTGCTTGTTGCGGATTCATCATTCCAAGCCTTCAATGGCTGCATTGCAGAGGTCTCCGGCCATATTCAATTTTGTCCGGCCCTGTGCAGGCTAGTGCAGCTGGCACAGCATCATGATTCCAGAACCGTCACAGGACACGACAGTTATCCGCACCTTCGACGGTGACAGTGATCCGCCTGGTCACGGAAGAGATGCTCCGAAGTCACACAGAGGCGCACGTCTCAGCACCCAGCCACGCGAAGTTTCAGCCTGGAGTCTGCTTACGAACCATGTTCGAACTTGCAGCGCATTCAAACCGCAAATGGTCGGCTCGGAGAATCTGAGATGCAAGCCAAGGCAGAGGCCAAATTGAAGGTCGGAGTTGCTTCCTCGAGGGTAATGCGAGAACGTGACACACCTTGTAGGTAGCATCCACGGTCCTGGTCTCCAACAGGATGCGCCATCGCATCCAGAGCAATCTGCGGTGGAGTGTCCTCGGAGGACCTCCTGCAAGACGCTCTACCAAACTAGCATTCCCGAAAGCTGCACAAGCTGAGTCGACGAGTGACTAGTCCGCCTGGGCTGAGCTGCCAATATGTCCAGCTCCAAGTGGCTCCCACTCGTCGTTAGCTTTACGGCTCCTCTCAAATCCAAATTCCATGCACCAGTCTACGTAAGCGCACGTCACACTGGGAAGCCACCAAGCAATGTCGCTGCGCTCCCGGTGCTGAATGATCTTCCACGGAACTCGGCTAATCCAAGTTTTCGATAGTCTAGCAAAAGGGTTTTCCGCAGCGTAGGACAACATCAGCAATGATAGCGATGAGTTCACATGTCACGTGCGGGGACACTTCGAAATCTCAGGCGGTGGCTTGCAGCTGCCCATAAGTCAGCCCCGACGTCTGCCGGGCTGCACGGGCTGCGAGGGAAGACCTCGGATCTCTACGAGATCCCACGCATCTCTTGCTTGCAATCGGACAAAGGAGCATGCAAGCGCCCCCCGCGCCCGAAGGCGCACCGGTCTCACAGTCTCTCTCTCTCTCTCTCTCTCTCTCTCTCTGAACCCGCTAGGCTGTCCAAGGCTCAGGCTTTTCCAGTTCTACCTAAATACCATCCAAACACTAAACTACTTGCTCTAGAGCTCGAGATGCTGCGCAAAATTGCGTTGCATCAGTGGCAACGACCTTGCTGGCGATGATAACGACGCATTACACCCCAGTGCCGGAACCCGAATTTCGCACGGCACAGCTGTCGTCTGGCTGCTTGACCTCTTTGGGTCAATCGGCTTGGCCGCTGCTGTGCAGCTACAGGCCAGACCAGAAGTCCACCTGTGCTCGATGCCTGGCCTCAAAAACAAGGAAGTCTCGGCCTTTTGGATGCACAATTTTTCGGTTCCGTAAGGTCAGCGCATCATCAAGTTGCTGGAAGTGTGGCGTAGCCTTCAGGCTCACTTCGCAAATCTCGAAGTTGCAGTCTAACAGCAGCTGTCCGTCCGTTAAACCCTTGATAAGAGCAAACGAGAGTAGGGAGCGGAGAGTGAGTGAGAGCAGAGAGTGGGGAATGAGTGGGTCGGAGTAGAGAGTGGGATGAAGTGAGTGGGAGCGAGTGGGAGTGAAGAGAGTGGGGGGAGTGGGCAGCCATGACGACCCTGGACTTGGTATAACGGAGCGTGAGCACGGCCACTCCAGCTGCCAGCGGTGCAGCCTGGTTTCTCGCAACACCAGCTGCAGCGGCAGCCACTCTCAGGAGGGGCGGTGTGGCCTTGGCATGGTCGCTAAAACAAAGATATATGCGTGCCCTTCAACCGCGCAAAGCATTGGCACACCTTTCAGGTCGGCAATCAGCTCCAAACGACCACCGGCGTAGAAACTGCCCTGCACAAGGTGAGAGCTCGCTGTGTTCGGCGCGGGCTCAACTTTGGGTGTTGTTTCTTTGTCTGGCACGTTTCACTTTTAGCTGCAGGCCCGTTGTCTCAAGATTGGAAGACGGTGTGGCTGTTGATCGGCTTGGCGTGGCATCGTGCAACGATGTTCAGCGTGATTCCGGCTCATGACACGAAGACAGGTCTCGTGCCGCGATGCCGGTTCTCAACTCTCCTCTCGACGGTGACGACTCGAGCGGGCCTCGGGGATCCTGAAAGTGCCCTGGTCGGCTCTTGGTGAGTTCGACTGAGAGGCCTGTGACAAAGATGTGTTTGAAGCAACGACAACGTCAACCAACCCAAAGTGCGATAGGACCCTCCTTCGCGCCTGCACTGCTGTGAGACGAGTGGCTTACCAGTGGCCAAGGTTATTGAATGCTGATGCCTCGTGTCTGCGGCGGCGAAATCACAAGTTTCAGAAAGCCAACGGATCAGGCCTTGGCGGCGACACCGAACGGGCTTTGGTGTTGAAGATCTTGTAGCCTCCGCCATGCAAGGCGAAGCGACGTGTAGTTCGGTGTCTTCAAAAACTTGGGACACTGCTGCGGATGGGCGACTGGCATGGTTGGGTCGGCCTAGGGTGGTGGCATAAGGTGACATGCATCCATCCCTTCTGCGAACTGATTGAGCTACCGTGAGGGATTGACGAGAGGGAGACAGGCGACCGTTGTTGCCCTGCCCTTGCCTGGATCAAGACATGATGTGCTTCTGCCAACCTGATGCTCCCTGTGTGCAGCCTGGGAAAGATGCTGCAGCGCCTCGAGCCTGCCAAGTCAAAAACTCGCCGAGGTCTAGGGTCTCTAGGTTCCAATCGCAGCCCAGCTCGGCGAGCCTGTCGCGAAGTCTGGCCTTGGCACTCAAAGAAGGTGAAAGGTGAAGTCACGCGCACAGTCTCAAAACGACGCCACAGCAGAGCCACACCGTCGGCCGCAGAAGCTTCGATTGGTTCGGCTTTTTCGGACTGCTAAGAAGGCGCCGCTGTCGTGCCCATTGGCGGAACACTGGCAACGCACTCTCCTGGAGTAGCGGAAGACGTTGGGCTTTGCTCGAGCCCGCAGGTGGAAGAGACCCTCGCGGATAATCGGAAGGCTCGGGGCGTGAGACTGAAGTTTTGGGCTAGAGGTTCAGACCCGATTTTTGAGGGTATATGGTCAAGGTGCTGGGGTCACGGCTTTCGATTGGGATGCCTGGCATGGGACATAGTGTCTACATGCATTCTTCCGCCAGAGTTGGGCAATGTAGCCTGAGATCCGTCCGCGGCCTGATAACCCAACTGGCAAGGTCCGGCAGTCCTGCAATCTCATCCACTCCTCCCCCCGAACTCGTTGACTGCGACTCGCCGAACTGCTCCGCCAGCACAGCCTGCATCGCTCACACCCCCTCCTAACTTGAGCCCAGGGGGACTCGAACGGAAAACTGGACGGCTGCTAAGGGCTCAGGGGTTGGGGCACGAGAACGAGGGCAGGAGTTTCGATGTTTAGAGTTTTGGGGCGTCTATGGTCGAGAATGCTTTGGGCGAGGTGGTTGAGCGAGTAGCCAGGCTTGTCAGGATTACGGATCAGCGATCAGAACTGGCCACTCCGTAACTTTGAAGCGAAATCAACACTGGCCCAAGGCCGTCGTCGCGGTTCTGCAGTTTGTTTCTAGCCTGAAGAAAGGGCCGCTGGGGGAAGACGGGAGCGCACGGCGCAAACGGGCTGTCGCCTGTTGATCTCCACCGCGAGCTGCTGGAACCTCCGCATCCGCCGCATCACCGCACTCTGAAATTCTTCCTCGGCTCCGCGCTCCGGAGGCACGGCGTCTCCAGGGCCGCTCCAGGAAGGCAAGGGATCGAAAGGGACACTGACCAGAACCTGCTCTGCCGCGCTTTTGAAAAGCTCCTGGTTCTCTAAACTTGCAAGAGCCGAAAGCTGTCTGAAAGCAAGACAGAGGCTAATCACCACAATCTGTGTACATGTCCAAGCCGCCCAGTCCATGCGACTGCGTCGCAAGAACTCCGTCACCTCGACAGCTGTTCGCTGTCCACTATGCACAAGGCGCCAAAATCTCGAAACGGCCTCGTGGACTGCCACGTGGTAGCGGCCGTCTATGACACTCAGCAGCAATGGCCTTGCTCGCACATCCACACAGCAAAGGTACTGCCGCACATGCTCAGCTCCGCACGCACCAGGGCTCAGGACCTGAGCCCCCGAGCGATAGAGACCAGACCGGACCTCCTTAGCACTTGGCTGAGGACTGCACGTTGTCGGCAAGGATGCGGGCACTGGATCGAAGAGGCTCCAAGGCCAAGAGATCCTCGGAGAACTCTGTGAGGCAAGCCTTGCATGGAGGCTCTCCGAACTCCCAGCTCCTCGTGGTATCGAGCACCACTGTGATCAAGCACAACCACCTGCAAACGGCTCGCAAAGAAAGCTGCAACTTTCATGCCGGTTTAGGCTAGTTCTTCAGGTCCCCGCATCCGGACTGGCCAGCAAACCTGTCGCAATCCAGTCGGCCGCAAAACCAATCTTGACCTTCGCTCGGGACACATGGGATTCTCTCCGAAAGTCCCGTCAGAGGTTCCTCAGCTCCAAAAGGAAAAGAGCTGAAAGCAATGAACCCCAAGACGAGCATAAACCTGACATGAGCGATGGTTGCTTGAAACGGAGACGTGCTGGGGTTCAACCCTGCAGCCAAATTCATGTGCAGGCCTTTCAAGCCGCTACCTGCCGCATAACGATTTGGGTTCACTGGAAGGGCTGAGCCTCCAACTTGCAGTCAGCAAAACTGCTCACTCTGTGATCAACAGACAGACAGGGTGCAGTCTAGAATTCGATGTACGATCACGACCTGAAGTCACGATGCTATCAACAAAGCCAGCCAGCGCGAACTAACAGCGGAAGGCTCGAGAACAAGGCGAGGAAGGATGATGACAGGCTCAACCAACACAGTGCTCTTTCGGATGTGGTGAACCAAGACTCAGATTATGACACCAATGCCGGTTCACAAAGCTACTAGTAACTAGCACAGCCAGACCCCGCTGCTCCGAGCACTAGAGCCGTAGGGATGGGCCATGATGGGCCCATCAGCGTGGTCACATCGCTCTTGGGCTTCATCAAGCAAATGAGATGACTCAAAAATTGAAGCTGGCCGGTTTGGCAAAGAAGGCTGGCACCCAACCAGGTTTAGCAGTATCTCCAATTCAGCTACACATTACTCTCCAGGGGCCTCCACTTCCGCTTCAGCTCCAGCCCATTTGATGATGCGGCGTGCGATATGGGCACTGACCTCAAATGCGATTGGGCTCTCGTTGCTGCGCGCTCGACAGCCCTCCGCCAGGCGATGGGCCAGATTGAGCTCACACGAAACAACTCGGCCGCCACCACCAAGAATCCTTCCCAGCACAAGTCTTGGCATAAGGGTCACAGACGGAAGTGCGTTTGGAGCGGAGATATCCTGAGTCGCCGGGCTGCCAGTAGCGCAGAGAAGCCGACGAAGCATCCAAACCTGCAGCATAGATACTGGATGAACCGCTCTCTGTCCAACAGGTTTCAACGCAAATTCATGGATCTCTTCGCAATTCGCCAGTCTAGTCATGCGGCTCCAGGACAACATCACCAGGACGAAGAATCGCCTGCAAACCATGTCGCATGAGAATTCTCCAGACAAGCATGAGTCTCAGTTCTCAGCACTTCAGCTGCACTATGCTGCAGACCATGCTGCACTACAGCTTCAGACACACCCTTCAGCATCTTCAGCTTCGCCTCCAAGAGGCGGGACTTGTTCCCACCTGCGATCTTCAGCCACTCCCGGCGCCGCGCAAACTTCAGCATCTCGCAGAGCACTCCGTCCAAGTCCCCTCTGCGAGCACGGCGCTGCACGAAATCCAGCAGAGCAAATTGCTTGCGTCCCAAAGCTTCCATCTGAAGCGAAGGGAGCCCCAGACTCGACGTGCCAGCCACCTCGGACGTATGGCGGAAGGAGGGGTTTGCTACGAGCGAGACTTAGTATGAATCCGGGACACATCCAGAGCCCAGGCCACGCTGGACCACAGATCCAGGACGGAGTGCGGCGGCATCGGAAGCTGCAGAAGCTGGAGCGCTTGCTGCCAAGCGCGGCTGTGGCCCAGTGCGCGTGCCAGGCAGCTGAAGGCTCCAGGGCTAGGGATGAGTTTCAGCGACAGAGCCTCGTCCAGAAGGGAAATTGACAGAGCCCACTCCTGGTCTTTGCAGCAGGCTGCAATGACAGCACTGTAGCTGATGCCATCTGCACCATCGCCTTTCTCCCGATTTCCGTCGCTTCTCAGGAGATGCAGGCACCGCGACCATTCCGTCGAGCGCTCCAAGGCCGTCAAAGTGGAATTCAAGACGACGACTTTCGATTCGACGGTCCAGCTCTGTCTCTGACACTCGCTCCAGAGAAGCAAAGCACGTTGCCAGGCAAAGACTGTGCCACAGGCCACAATTGCAGAGCTGTATGCATGTGCTCCCGCTAGGCCGTGTTGTTGTGCGTCCGAGAGAAGTTCAAGCACTTTTTGCCATGAAGACACGCGCTCACAAGCTGTCATCGCCGCACTCAGTGCGACCATATTGGGAGACAAGCTTGCAGACCGTGGGGAATCCAGAAGGAGCCAGAGTGCAAGCTGCCACTTTCCGGCTGCAGAACATGCCGCACCGACAGCATTCCAAAACCCACGATCCGGAATGGCTCTTGAGTGAAGCCTCTCCAACAGTGTAAGCGCAGATTTCCAAGCCGAAGCTTGTGCACAGACACCCACCGTAGCAGTGAATGCCACTATGTCTGGGAGGACATGAGAGGATGCAAAAAGCAAAAACCACGCCTGTTCCCAGTCGCCCGTGCGCTTCAGTCGCATTATGGACGAAGTGGTTTCGCGCAAAGCTCTTAGATCTGATAGCGAGTCACGCCAGTGACAGCAGGAGCTGGAAATTAATCTCACAGCTAATTTGCGTGTATCTGCCACAGATTTGCACGACGAGGGACGTCTCTGGATGCATAAGGACATGCATAATGCAGTGCTGGTCTTGCACGGTGCACAGGGACTTCTTCTGGCCACTGGGCAGGCTTCACCTCGTCATCGTGACATTCGACAGCCCAAGACAACGAAAAGTCTTGTGACCGGCTCGCACATCTCTTCATACCAACATACAAGGACCCTTTTACTGAGGCAACCCAAGTTGCGCCAAGTGAAACGAATGCTTGACCGAAGAGCAAGCGACAATGCCATTGTGGCACCATGGCGGAAGTACCCTTCAAGCTGAAGAACTTTGCGATCACCATGTCAGCTCGGCTGCGTGGGAGCTCAACACTTGTGGCGACACCTCATCAGAGACACTGCGGCTGCGTCCAAGCTGTTTCGGCATAACGGCTCCAATGCACCTCAATGCTTCGACTTGGGACTTGTCTGCATCTCGTACATGGAGTTGTGTCACACTAGAGTCACTAGAGGAACTTGAGACTGCTTGCAATTTAGCTTTTGCAGTGAACTTACATCCTTGGGGGGATTCTTCAGCAAGTGACCAGCACGTCAGCACAGGACTGTGGAATTAAAATTCCTAGATGACAGATTGCCGATGTAGCGGGATGCCATCTCAGTCTCAGTGCCTTCAAGGGGCAGCCATGACAAGCAGACGGGTGCTGGACAAAAAGATGTCGAGCTGCTCGCGCAGACCATGGCAACAGAAACAGATCGAAGCTCCAATGAGCGCTGGTTCTGCTAGTTACCCACAGCGACACGCCTGAGGGACTTTCCGACATGCACAAACAGTCAAGCCTTCTCACTCCACGGAAGATTCGAAGGCTCCATATGCTAAGGCCATCACTTCAAGCAAGGATGCCTCCCACTTCATTGCACTGCTTGGTTTGGGCACGACCTTTCAGCTAGCACATGTCCACCTTCTCTTCCAGACGGCGCATTTCGGCCTGTGCTTGCACGGCGGATGGGCAAAGCAGAATGTCGTTTGCAGAGGACAGTGCCTCGCCGCCCGCTTCCACGGCCTCCAAGCATTTCAGATATGCTATGCCCACACAGGTACGGACGGTACAGTCCATCTGATCCCACAGGCAACAAGAACATGTCTAAACCATTGCCATGCTCTGCCTGCTCGAACTTGTCATTTCGAGCTTCCTCTATCCTGCATGGCCCAGCCAGTCTCAGAGTTTGGCAGCAACTCAACGTCACGCACTTCAAGTACTGACGACTCTCCAGTGGACTCAGTCGCGACTCGAAAACGCGCATGCAAATTGCTTGCACCTGAATTCCGCCTCAGCCGCACGTAGTTCTTGCTCAGCTGCGACTATCTCAGACCTGGCGATTTGCGTCACTTTGCACGCGTTGCAACGGCAACCCTGCCATATTCATCATCATGGCCGTGTACTTGCCTGAGCTCATCTCTCCTCTGCGCAGCAACCTGATGCAACATTGTAGTCAACATTGTAACGCGATACATGGCTTCGAGTACATGCCGACGCGTGAAAGACACGTCTTCGAAATGGACTTCTCATACAGAGTTTCAGTCAGACCACTTAGACGCTTGCCCCGTTCTCTATACAGGACTCTAGGCTGGTTTCGTCCTTGATGCTCTCGGTTTCAGAATTGGCCATGCAACGCTGAGCTACTTAATGCCACTTCGAAGTTGCGGAATCTGTTTCGACATCCTCATTCGCAGCCCGCACACGCTTCGGATATGCGCACGGCGCCAAAGACTCGGAGATTCGGACCGTACTGGGCTGCGGGCCGAAGGCGCTGAGCAGAGCCGCTCGGCTTTCAGGAGATCCAAAGGCGCTCCTCTCCCAAAATGCCAAACAATGACAAACACATTGCCGAGAAAAAGCACGCGTGTGTTTACTCAAGCTCGCGATCGAGAGCTTTGCTTTCTTCCTTCCAAGGCATTCGGCGACAGCTTGCCGGGGCTCTTCTCCTTCGCTGGGAAAAAAATCTTTCGAAAGTGCAGTCCTGGAATCCGTCAAAGCCTCTGCTTCCCGCGCGGCCGGCGCAGAAGGAGCAACATCCATCCTGACTGCCACGGCTCTGTGCGAGAGCGCACTCCGATGGTGGGCGCACGTTCTGTTCAGCCACGTCCTCGTTGGCAAGCTGCCCTGCTGCAGTAACAGCTGCTGGAGCTGCTGGTGCATCTGGCGACACATCTTCCAACATGACATGAAAAAATATTGCAGCCGGAAACCTAGCAGCAGTCTACACGGCACAGGTGGGATCGTGGCCGGGCTGCACACAAAATGCTCAACATGCGTCCAAGGTACCATTAAGCATTTCTGTGTCTGATCAGATAGCCGATCTGCATTCTCTTCCTCAGCAATGCTACAAGTAGAAGCAAAGTCCGTGTGCACCGGCAAGAATGTCTTGATTCTGACTTGACTTTTGCAATCTGTGCTCAGCCTGAGAAACCCACGAGCCATTCCCGAGCCTCAAAGAACCAATGTGGCACAGACTGGCACGTGAGCTCACATGCCCCCTTTGTTCAATTCACAGGCCGCCGCCTCGTCATTCAGCAAAGGAAAGGAATCCTGCCTGGGCAAAGCTTTTCGCGACATGAGTTCAGTTGGTACACGTCCTGACCTGGTACCTCATGGAAGCCTCGAGTGCTTTGCAAGTCTTGCCTTGCATCCGGAGATCTGGTGCTGCGAACCTAGGACTGGTCAAAATAGAAGGCCCAGGCCCAGTCCGAACGGGGCCGACGAGATTGCGCGACACAATGCCCTGCAGTGATAGGCCACATGAGATAACACTAGGAGCCAGAAACCAATCAGCCCAGACTGGGGTCAGCAGCAAAACAGCCGGGGTAACATGCATCATGCGAATAGCCCCCTGCGAAGCCGTTCCCCACAAGCAAAAGATTAGCGGACCAGTCAAGCTGATGTGAGCCATGAACCAAATCGGCACGAGGGCAAGCGGCTCCAAGGGAACCGGCAGCAGCGACACTCGACGACAAGCTCGAGAAAGATGAGTGGCTCTGTCTTGACTGGGGCAGCGACAACAGGCCAAGTATGGCCATGCACGAGGCGTCCACCATTTATGTCATATTGGGCAAGCACATGCAAGGACGACTATGACTATGACTGCCGCGAACGCATGTCAGGTGGCAATAGCAAGCTGCAGCTATCGTTCCTCTCGGCAGGCGGACGACGACGAGACGACGACGAGACGACAACGATGACCTCCTCCTCCTGCTACGATTTGTGCTGTTTTGCTTCGCATGGGCGACCGCGCGACCAATTGCATGAAGCCGGCAATGTATTCAAAGCAGCGGCTCCTGCGGGGAGCCCACTACACCCACAACCTAGAACAAGGAACGATTGTCAACACACCGTGCCAAAAGCACCGAGTGTGCCTGCTGTGACCGACGGTCCCGAGTGTTTTAGCGACTTTACAGCCGAGCGTGGCAGGAGGTTACATACAAGGACAGCATGGCTCGAACGAGCACAAGCTGCAGTCAGATCAAGGATGTTATGAAGTTCTCAGAACAACACTCTCCAAGTCACCTGCACCAGGCCCTATCCGTTCGCACAGCCTCGACGGAGCCTAAGATCCTTCGGTGTTGGAGTTATGTTGGGTTTGCTGGGGTGCGAACACAAGGTGCCTTTTCTGTTGCCATGGTGGTTGTACCTGCGATTGTCATCAGCAGACTCTTCGGAAGCACAAATGACCGTCCCAGCGACAGTTGAGCGCAAGTACAACCTGACAGCGTGGAATTTCTGCAGTTGTGATCAAGCTGCACTTTATTTTCGGCATGCAAAACACACGGAATGCATGAGCTGGCGATTCCTTGAAGTCCCACTTTATGGAAGGGAAAGATTGCCAGATAGCCACACCAAGTCTGTAATCGTGGTAGGTGGCATGTTGCACATGCCTTCGGCAGTGTGCAGTTTGCGAAACAACCACGAAACTCACCAATCTTTGCTGCAACACGACAATGCAAGTAGTGCGATGACGGGCTGATGTCAAAATCTTCTTTGCTGGTATTTTGCCGGAACCGGCAGACTACGATGCTACGCATGCATTGTGAGGCAGAGCAATCAACTCACGACTTGTTCGAGATGGTTTGGCTCGAACCTCAGGAAGAGCGGTTCTTCCGGACCCGGCGACATCGATACTGCTTCGGGCCGGATGCGCCAAAACTCAAATCTCCCGTTCGGCCAGGATTCCTGAAGCCTGCTTTGACAGCTTGTCCAGGATGTTGAGAAGCCTCGACTGGTTGTGCAGGTTCGTCGCCTCATGCGCAAATACGCATTTGGCAAACCACTGACTGTAGAATGGAGAGGCGATACATGAACTAAGCATCGTGCCTGAAACACATTCAACTTCTCACCAATGGTCTGCAGCGACATTTGTGCAGACACCTCGTCTTCCATCTGCTCATGGAGCGATTGTGACATGGTCTGCAGGGACAGCGGCAATATCAGATTTTTGCAGATCGCCTCGCAACCTCAGGACATTTCGATCGTTTCCGTGTCCCTTGACTTGCTGGGCCCGCCACCTCATGAGTCCAGACCTGAACGGTTGAGGAAAGCTCTGGGCTACTGACACAGCTATGACACTCAAATGCTGTTTACAGTGCGGCTGAGGCTTTCACACAAGCTCGGAGACGCCCAGGTGCCCATCCGCATCTGCCCCGAAGGCTTCGAAAATCCCTGGCCGAGCTTCGAGTTCAATATCCAAGTCCTGAGCTGCAGGACTTCTCACCACTCTGACTCCAGGCAAGGAGGAGCACAGGGCTTTCAGCCAAATCTCATCAAGAATGTTGCGGATCCTCGGATTTAGACGGAAGGCATCCAGAGACCATGGGACTGGCTTAAAACCAAGCCTTCGTGGCATCCCTGCGTTCCCAGGTGCTTGGAATTCTGCAGGACTTGGGTAAACTCCGTCTCCGAGAGAGTAAGTTCCCGATCCAGGTCCGAGTCACCTTGCAGTCCAAACAGGACAAAAAACCGAGAAGCTGAGAGCCTGGAGAAGAAGCACGGCAAAGCTTTGGCCCCGTGCTGATCTTTGCCGATCCTTTCCGAAGAAAGGACTTGAAGGACTTTCGCCAGTTGGTCTGCGAATCTTCGAACAAGTCAGCTTGTCTCATCTCCCTGGCAGCACACTGAGAACATGGTTGAACTGCGTGAAACTCAAACCTTGGCGCAACCATGTACAGACAGCCTCACAGTCTTGGACACTCGCACAACCTGGCAAAAATGACAGGCAAATATGCTGGAAGATGAAATGTCAAGGTTGCCGTGCAGCTTTGCAGACGAGCCACAAGTTCATTGAGCTTGCGAGTGACATAGTTGGTCTCATGCCTGAAGACGTTCGAGAAACGCGAAGACGTGCAAAAACGACTGTCTCAGCCAAGGACAGCTTAGCATGTTTTCGCTGCACCTCCCGGGCACACCGTGCATGAAAGATGCACCAAACCAGAGCCCCGACGGACACTCAGGACCGGACGTCATTGTATTTGAGCCCAGACAACGTAGCATCCACAAACATCGCCTCGACGAACAGGCTAGAACTACATCCACACAAATAAGACCTCAGCAACATCCAAGCCCAGTTCGGTAATGATGTTCGTCATTCCGAAAATCATCGTCACCATGCTCAGACCGTAGAACCTCACTGCAAGACTGCGTCAAGTCTGCAGCCGACCGAAACTGGGGACTAGGGCACCTGCCCTTGGAATGTCCATCCATAGTGGTCGCTCAGAACTGCAGCAAGCGGCCTACCGCCTGGGCGCAGCTTTCGGCTGCAGAAGTTACAGATGATGCCATAAAGAAGCTCACCATAAAAGGCACAGTCCGCACTACTTTGACAAGCAACGTTTCGTGATTTGTAGGTCATTCCCCGTCGTTGATGCACCACAGCATCCCCCCAGTTTCTGTGTTCCCCCACCCCGTCATTTCCCACCCCCCGGCCCCTCACAGTTCCTTCCTCCCTCCTCCCTCGGCATTGCCCTCTCCCTCCTCCCCTCGCACCACGATTCCTCTTACTCAGCCAATCTTCCCATCCAGCACTGGTCTTCTGAAACCTCCGAGATGTCCCCCTGAAGAGCCCCCGCCTTTCGAGTTGCAGTCGCCGATCAGGCATCTGAAGACCTAAGAAAGTCAGACTGTATGTGAGGCCCGGTGAAGAAGTGCGTAAAGGGAGGGGCCCAAAGTCCAAAGCATCCTCGGGCCGCCGACCGTGAACATGCACGTGAAGACTGTCCCGCAGTACTCCCCCAGGTAGAGATATGCCATTGTGCATCCGTCAGTAAAGGGCTCGCCAGGCAAAGGAAAGTCGTAGTTGTCACCGCTACCACACCTGCAGGGCACGACTTGTGAGCCGGCTCCAAAGGCTCGCGGGCGAGCCTGGCCTGTCGAACAAACTCATTGACTCGCCACTGACGGTGCTTCGGAGAACGATGGCGCAAACATACAGAACTCCACCTGGCGACAGGCAGCCACAGCCACACCCATGCCGCAGCTCACACAAACCAGCCGAGCCACAAAGAAGGATCGTTACCCAAAACAGCCATGGAACACCGATCACCATGGCCTCAGCTGCTGAGGTCTGCGTCAGCCGCCATCAGGGTTTCAGTGCCGAGTGTCCGAAATCATATTGGCTAGCTCCGCCAACAACGGCCAGTGCATCAACTGCACAACGAGCTTAGCAGCTTCACAACTGACTACTAAGATATGACGCTTCGATCGTCACATGCTCATCCTCTCAGCCTTATGAATGAGTGCCTTGGTGTTTTGTCCCGCCTTTATCAGCCTCGCCACTCGGGATAACCGCAAGCCGCGGAGGATCATACCTTTGCCCATGGCATCATCACTTGTGCTGGATGTGCCGCTGCTTTCCACCCTTCGCTCAAGTTCTAGACTGACGTGTTTTGGGCTCAGGAACTCATGCGTGCCGAACTTGCAGAAGAAGCCGTCGTGCTGATGACCACGTCTACAACGGCAACGAGCGTCAATATCAGGTCACCTCGACCAACAACTAACTACGTAGACTTGCGGCCCTCTACACCACCAGATATGATGTGCTCATCAAGCCCCGGCCTATGTTCCAGGCATAGTCCGTGCCTGTGAAGTAGACCCATGGGCTTAGCACCACCAGTTTTACCACCACCTCGATCACAAAGACCTTCGATCAGCACGGATGTACGCCCTGTCAACATTCCCCGCAGCCGGAGCATTCGGAGCATGAAGGGCATCGTCACGTGCACTTTCAGGCATGCGGCCAAGGCAAAGAAAGCCTCCAAGATCGTCCAGCCCATCCAGTCAGGATCGTAATCCATGCTGAATCCTAGCCCAGTCGTGTCCAATTTTGCTCATGCCGTGGCGCGAGTCTGGAAAAGTGTCAAGGTCCTAGTATGACCAAGCTCAAGAGGATCGAGGTCATTGCCTGAGCAACGGCGACAAGCAATGAAGTTCAAACCTCCCTGCGAGGCAGGCAGGCCTAGACACCGAAAACGATACTCCAGCTGCTCTAGCCGACTCCAGCCGAGTGTCAACGCCGTTGACAGTCGTAACAATTCGTTGTTGCAGCGTCTTCGTCTGCAGCAGGGATACCCGTGCGCCATCCAAAACGACAAACAATGCATCGTTGCTGAGAGGGGGAGGGCTCAGAACACGGCGGCCTTCGTTAATGGAAAGCTTGATCTCATCATTCGCATTCGAAAAACCTGCTGCATGCATGGCCATTCGGCCTCAGTTCGCCTGCGTCGTGCGCCAACTCACTTCCGTACCCTTGCCTCGTAGCCACTGAAGTGGACGACACGGTCATCGCGCAGCGTAGAATGAACGTTAAACAGGTCCTGCACTGTGAGATACCGCCGATTCACCACAACACGGGAGCCACTGCAGTTGGCCATGTGGCCTGGACCATCTCAGCTCTTGCCTCACCAGAAATCTAAGATGTGCTCTTGTCTACAAGAAGCCTCGCAGCCTGCGTAGGGAGGTCGGGAATGGCTACGAGCTCCACGAAGGATAGCCTATGGGAATTCGAAAGGCAGCTCTGCAATGCCCCTGGCCCTGAGCCGTTGTAAGAGCCAGACCATGAAATGACATGCTGCTGGCTTACGCTTCGCTTCGGCGAATCACCACGAAGCCTGGCTCGAAGCAAGCTGCCGCTTAAGGAAGGCTCCCTTCAGCTCCGTGTTCGCTGGTGCAGCTCCAGTTGGTGCATGAGGAGACCGTCATTCAACACAAGGTCAGCCCGGGAATCTGGGAACCCAAAAACCATCCACAAAGTAAATCTCCCGAGCAGTGACACGAGCATGTGATTCCAATGGTAGCGTACTTCAGCGGCATCAGATAGTGGAACCCGCGCGCGAATAGATGGAACCTCCCACGCCGCACCCCATATCCCAACCCCTGCCTGTTGCACCGGTGCAGCCTCCCGTGCCGCACCCCGTATCTCCCGCGCTGCAACCCGTATCGCGACCCTTACCGGTGGGACCTCTCGCACCACACCCCGTATCGCGACCCTCACCGGGCTCCTGTCCGCATGCCGTATCGCCACCCCCATGCACCAGTTCCCCACCGGTGACCGCACCCCATATCGCGACCGCGGGAACCTCCCGCATCTGCCGCACCCCGTATCGCAGCCCTACTGGCAGAACCTCCTGTATCGCACCTCGTATCGCGGCCCACAGCTCCCGCGCTCACCCCCACCGGTGGAACCTCCAACGTCGCGCACCCCGGAGACCCGTTGGACGCCGATGACTCTAAACGCCGCTTTCGCTGCCGCGCCGCACCCTGTATCGCGGCCCGCGCTGTTGGGAAACCTAACGGACAACCCAACCCTCGAGAGGGGGTTTTTGGGAACAAGGTCAAGCCGGGAACCCGAAAACCCAGGCGAAGAGAATACTGCCAGAATGGAAGTCTGCACGATTCTTCTCTCACGTCCAGCAATCTTCGAGTTGCGGCAGCAGCTGCGGTCGCCGCCCTCCCCCGCGCACCGTCCGCGCACCCGATATCGCGCTCCCACCCCTTGCAGCCCGCCCTCCCCCGCGCACCGTTCGCGCACCTAATATCGCGCTCCCGCCCCTTATCTCCGCCCTCCCCTGCGCACCGTCCGCGCACCCGATATCGTGCTCCCACCGCGCACCATCCGTACACCTGATCGATATCGCGCTCCCGCCCTTGTCCCGGCGCATCGTCAGGCCACCCTATATCGCGCTCACGCCCCTTGTCCACCTCCTCCCCCGCGCACCGTCCGCGCACCCGATTCAAGGCCCGTTTAGTCTGGTAGAGCCCTTCCGTGAAGACAGGGCCTCGCGTTGGAGCACTAAACGAGAACACAACCCCAGAGGGGTTTTCGGGAAAAACAGCAGAGCGATTCAAAGAGAAGTGGAAGGGCCTCAACAGTCACAAAACACGCTGTCTTTCCTTGCCTCAGCACACGGGCCTGTCTTCCTAAACCACACCTTGAGCTTAATTAAGCAGGCACTCTTCTTGGTTTCCGTTTCTTAGCAGACAAAGGAGAGCCAACCCGAGATCAGTGTTCAGAATATGTTCTTGTGCATGCTGCATATTGAGTGCACTGGTCGAGATTCGCAGACAGCACAGGCACCGGTTGTTCACCAAACATCGTGGAAGCTAATGCCGGATGTCCTGGCAGCGATGACCCTCATCTCGCGAATGATGTCTTCCATTCTCTCCTGGTGGAACTTGATCTAATGACGGCTCACAAAAAGGCTTGCAACGGAAGAATACGGTGCCTTGGTGAATTCCGATTTCTCCTTGCGCGGCGCAAATCGTCGATTCCTTGCTTTGACACTGCTCTTATGCTTCTCGCAAGATGCAAGAAGTATGTCAGGACTGATTACAAGGTGCCACATCTTACCACGACGATTGAATCTTGTTGTGGTCTGAACAAGCGCTTTTGCCGTAAAATAAAAACTCGCATAAGCCACGTCGCCGCTGCATCACCGCAGCTAGCTCTGCACCGGTGATGACCTTTGCAGTCAAACAGGACTTCACGCCGGTGTTTGGATGAAATTAGAACGCTTTCACGCCGAGCTGCCTTCGACTGTGGCTCCTTCAGTTGACGATGCGGAAGCATATCCCATAATCAAAGACTCACACATGCCCGTCGGTGCTCCTGCACAGCGAAGACCTTTTGAAGACGCTCGGTCAGCTGCTGTGACATGCTCAGGACCTCGCATGCAGCATGCAAGCATCACCTAGCAGCCACCGCACATGTTGTGGACCCACTTTGCAGAATCAATCTGCATGTGCTGGATCCAAATAGCCCGAAAAGAGTTCCGCATGGCAACACCTCTTGGTGACAATTGCCCTTTCAAGGGCTAAGCCACAAACCAGAATGCCAGTATGAAGACACAAAAGCAACCTGACGAAACTGTGGGCGACCTTCCTTGCAGCAAATCTGCATTCTGGCAAGTACCCCACGACATATTTACGTGACGGGGGTTCCAGTTACATGCGAACGCAGGGCCATGCATTGCCTTCATGCGATGGGTAAGGTGTTTGCTAACGTCAGAGGCCAAAACCCAAACCTTGAGATTCTGTCTCCGCCTCCGTAAACACATGTCCCATCCTTGCGGTGGCTCAGTGCCTTTTGAGACCAACTTGCAAAACAAACTCACAACAGCTTGCCTTTGAGCACAACACAGTGCTGTTCAAAGAACGCCTCTCGTCGTGTTTTGATCTGTTGCTGCATTCTCTGCTGCAGCTCAAAACCAAACAACAAAGCAGCTGCCAAGTCACGTTGCAGGCTTCCACTGTCGATACTCGTCTACCCGTAGGCGTGATTTTGACAGCGGAGTGCCCGGAGTCCTGACGTTCAAGTCTTTGCTAGACTGAAGGCGTGAAGTGAAGAGTGAAGCACGAATGAACATCGAATCGCAATTGTCCGTTGATCTGGTTCGTGGACGGCCAGTTTGCGGGCTTGCCAAGCGGTACTTGCTCCCGTGTTCTTCGATTTCCTTCACAGCAATTAAAACGAGCGCAGCAGCAGCTGTCAAAGCACAGTGCGCCTCCGTGTCACCGATCTTGACATGGCGACTTGGCTGCTTGGACACCACATCCGCTGCACTTGCAGCTCCTTTGTGATCATCCTCTCCTTGGCACTCAAAACAGCGAAATCGGCGGCGATCCCACCCTGACGAGACGGTTTGACTTTCTTGAGGCCAGCACCGAGAGAGTCTGGAATGGCAGGAAGGCTACCGAAAGCTCGATGATCCTGCCGCGGCGTGCTAGCCGGAGACGATGCAGGCGACACTCGTGAGGAGCCTCAGTCGTGTGGAACTTCATCAAGGGCTCTAAGCACGGAGTTGTGTTGCTCAGCTCTCTCCCGTCAACTCAACTCTGTAGCAGGGCTACTAGTCGAAGGTCTGCGATCCTCCCCTGGAAGCGCAAGTAGGTCGACCGTCGGAGGAGGCTTGACGTGCTCGAGGTCATGCCTGAATCTACGGATCTATGCGGTCTCGGCTGTCCAATTAGCACTAAACTTGTGGCATCCATCAGACCATGCCAGAAAGCAGATGCCTCTGCGGAACAGGCAATGCCAGTTGCCGGAGGCCTTCCTGGTCATGCCCATCCAGCCTGCGCAGAAGGACGATCCGCACGGACGTCTGTCAAAACTGTTGCAACGGCAGCTGGAAGCTTCTTGCTGGCGGTGCGCTCTTCTGCCGCTTTCTCGAGGCCAAGGGCCCTGTCCTTCCCAGAGCGCACAGCAGGTGTTCAGGTGCCTTGATTGTGTCGCGGTGCACCGAAGGCCTTAGAGCCAGGTCGATGACCTGTCAGCTGCTGGAGGAGCTTGTCATGTTCCTCCTGCGCCATTAGCACCGTCCCACTGCATGAATGGCTCAGCGTCTATTTCAATACATAACGAATCTGTCTCACTCTGTGGTGACTCATGAGCCCCAGACCCTAAGGATCCCTTACTAGACCCTGAAGTGTCTCACTTGCCAGTCGTAGGTTTCGGGTAGGCATAATCTGCTGGACTGCGGGCTAGCCGAAGTACTAAGAACTATGTTACAAGCCATAAACACATGACTGTCCAGCTAGAGTGGAGCGTCTAAGTTCGAAGCTCTTTTCAGTCTCAGCGGTGGCTTTGATGCAACTGATCCAGTACAACATCGCTTTCGAACGCACCGTATGCGACCTGAACCTGTGAATCGCTTGAGCGACACTTGTGACACTAGATACGCACCGCCTTCTGCCGATCATGTGGCTAGCTCACAATCTGCAGCACTCAGCTCGCATCATTTCGCTCCTTCCAGCAGCCTGAAAAAAACAGAAAGCGGAGCGGGTCGTCTGCTGCATCACCACAGACACAGGGCTCGAACACCGGCAACACTGTTTAAAGTTCAGGACAACACCAGGCTCATGTCTCAATGCTGCCAAATCTCGAATGGCACGGCGGTGCTCCTGGAACAAGGACATGTCAGTAAACTATGATGATCGCCATGCGGCGATTTTTGAAGAACCCCTCTTGCTTTCAAGCCTTCACAAGCTGGCCCTCTCTCCTCCGTCACGCAACCGTCCGTCCAAACGAGACGACAACAGGGAGGGATATGCAACTTGCGCAGAAAAGCCTTCCGAACAGAACCGCTGACTGAACTGCCTACTATTGCAGAACACGCTCCCTCAACTGCTCCTTGAAACTTCCCCAGTCCCCACGTGTCTCGTGACTGGCAGCATCCTTCTACGCCATTGAATTGAGCTGTGGTCTTGAAGATTGGCTAACAGCTGATGGCTGAGGATTGGGCTGCGGGGTCCGTACTTGGCTATTTTCGCTTTGCATCAATGCCACCGGTTCCAAAGTCCAGACAGGCATAACGGGGTTGCTACCAGTCCTGGCCCAGCTCCAGAAGTAGCTGCTCGAAGCGAGTTTCCATTCCCCGTGGGCTCTTGCAGTCTAGCTGCCTAGCGGCCAAAAGTGAGTAGTCCGTTGCGAATTTAGAAATATCCCTGCAACATCTGCTCTGTCTTTTTCAAGCCTATTAGCAGTGTGAGCATGTGCTGATATGATCGTAACTGTGTCTCGTCCATGTGCGCTCTATCCAGCTTCGAAGAATCGTAAAGCAGCGGCGATCTGCTTGTCGATTTCATGCTTAGGAGGCCGTCTTGTTTCCGTGCAAACACGTCGATCGGGCACTGTGGGAACCTCCAGTGCCACCATCATCCTGAACGGTGCGGTGTTCACGATGCAGCAACCAGCTGCCGACAGGTGCTGGTAACCGGAACATGCAAGTGGGACTGGCAGAGCCTCTGCAGGACTGAAGTTTGCAGCTGCTCGGCTTGCAGCTGGACCTGCAACAACCACAGATAGTGCCCACGTGCGCAAGACAATGCACAACTGCTCAAAGCGATCAGGTCGAAGGAAGCGGGCAGTCCGTGTACAGTGACAAAACACTTACTTCAGCCACATGAGCTTGCAACATGGCCTCGTTCGGGTCGCCTTGGCTCCTCGACTCAAGCAAGTGCAGAGCGTCGGTGGAGCACATGCCACAAACGGAGATTCTCGAGCGGGCATGGCTGAGAGGCGAACAATTCGAGAAGGCCTTCGTGCACATGATGCACATGGATGGGGCCAACGCTCAGCAATGTGGATCAGACCAAACCATGCGCCTGCTGTTCTGACTTCTTGAAGGCCGCAGCTCATCTGCCTGAGCCAACGTGGACACAACGAACAGACACACTCTGCTCCGACTCTGCTCCAGGCTCTTGCAGGCTTCCTTGGCACGGCCGATAGCCGCGAACTGACGCACAGCAGAGACGCTCTATGACTTTGTGCGTGGCTCGCGGGAACCAAAACCCAACCTGCGCTTTGGCGGGGTGCCCGACATCCTGCTAAACGTTGGCGACGCATGGTATGATGGCTTGCAGAAACACTTGCACTGTCCAGCTTCGCGGCGGTTGCGACAAAATGGCCTGGCTTCAAACAAAGTTTGGCAAGCAGACATGGATAAATGTGGGGGACCCCGGTTGACTCAGCATCCCACCATCTCACCGAGACCCTCTTGTAATCTGTGGATTGAATCACATGGCCCGAAAGGGAAAGTCTTCTAAATTAGTGGTGTTGAAGCTGTTGAAGATACCAATGTGATGTCGGGAAGCCGCTAAGTGCTGCGAAACAACAGGGAAGATCTGAAGCCCATTCATTTTCGCATGCTGAAGTTCAAGTGTGGGAAATTTTGATGTCTCCAGCCACAAACCACCTGTGACGATTCATCATGCGCCGTTAACTTGTTAGCTCTGAGCAAAAGCAAGAAGATGTTGCCCATAATATCCCCGAATATTAACTGAGCTATGTCACGCACAATGAATGTCAGCTTCACAACACTTCTTTAACCACTTCCCCGCAATAGTCTGTTCCCGTGCCTGCCGCAGCTTGAACCTTCCCTACAATCTTCGCAATCCTGCATTCCTGCTCAACACTTGACAACGGTTCCGCAACTACTCAAGCACTGCCAAGAAATGGCACTGTACAGATGAAACTGGATTTGGAAGTACCAACATTCTGGCAACGGGATCATGAAGGTTGTCGGGGTGGTTTTACATCTGCCAAAACGAAGGTGCGTTCGCAGCGCTGTGCATTTTCATTTTGGTCCGAATTCAACAAACCTCGCAATTTCTTTTCTGCAAATGTTTGACCACAGATTCGACGAGGTGAACAAGCAAGAACCACCGTGAAGGGTGACGTGTTGCTCGTCACCCCGCACCCCGTGCTGGGAGCTCAGGCTATCGTCGCGTCGTCAATAACATGGCAGAACAGGTTCATGGCTTCAGATTAGAAAGCTGGCGAAAGACCGCTTAAATTCGCAAAGAACATTTCAATTGCAAACTCTTCCCAACCACAACGCAAGATGTGTCCAATTCACGCTGCTCATCTTGCATGGGATCCATGATTGCATCTGATGCATCGGAGTGAAAGCGTTGAAATTACTTGCATGTTTGATGTGTTTTTCAGAATGCGATACCTGCCGTTTTCTGTATAATGACATAAAGTGAGAAAGTCGTTTTGCAGTTATTTTGTTGTTTTTTTGGTGTTTAATACTTCAGATGGACAAAAACAGCAAGCAACCGCAACCGACGAAGCTGTTCCACGCCTAATCCTTGTTCGTTCAACTTTTATCTCACACACATTTTGCTGTAACAAGCAAAAAATATCTATCAAAAGCGAGCATAGGTTTTTGCAGGGTGTTCGAATCCTGGCACCTGGGAAGAAAGTCTTCCGGAAGGAAGAGATTCGGAACATAAAATTTGAACTCAAGTTCAACTCTGAGCTCAAACATTTGGAAGAAGGTTGAACCCTATTTTAAATCTGCTCATTCTACTAACACCACGACTACTGTTACTGTTACTTACGACTGATACCAATTCTACTGCAACTTTTAGTGCTATTACACAAATAGGACTAATTTACTACTCCGCAACGAACACAAGAAGTACTATGACAGTAATCCGACGGCGTGCTCACACACACACACAAAACAAGAAGAAGAAGCCACACGACATCGTTTTATGGGAAATGAGAAAAATCAGATTTTATGAACAAACGCAATCACAACCACAACAGCAAAAAAAGAAGGCACACGAAACAAAACTAAAATTAAAAAACAATCACAAACAAACCAAACCAATCACGAACACAAAAGAACAAGAAGCCGCGAAATCGTTTTATGGGGTTTTGACGAAGAAAATATAAGAAGAATTAATGAACAAAACGCTTTTGCAACGCAAACTGCACAAAAATAACGTAACCATGCAAAACTTCTCTTGTCTTTTTTCTGGCCTCTGCTTGGGTCTTTCTCTGGACCGCGGATGTCCAACAGGAGAGCGAAGAATTGAAGACTTTGGCCTAGAGACAATGACTGCCGCTGTGCAGTGGCCGGCCAGTACGTACAAGCAATTCCTTGTCCAAGCCGCTGCATCGATGACGTTCCTCAAATGCAGCAGGCAGATGACGTATGTCAGCCGCTAAGCGAGCAGAGAGGCGGCTTCGAAGGTTTTTTTTTTTTTTTCGGAGCGTCTTCAAAGGGAACTTGAAGAAAAGGCTTGAAGGAAAGATTTGAAGAGGGCTTAAAGGGCTTGAAGAAGAGTTTGGGACTCTGTTCGAACTCGAGGTTCGGAAACTCTGTGGTTAAACTCTGGCTTGAAACTCTTCGTGTTCAAAGTTCAACTCCAGGTTCAATTCCAGTTCAAGAAGTTCGGCGTTGAGATCAACTTGCAGGTTCGGTTCCAGAATCTGGATTTGGAACTTTAAATTCCAAAACCTTGAACACCTCTCCAAAACCTATGTAGCGCGGACTGGAATGTCGTGAGTGTGTTGAGCATTGGCCTGGGAACTCGTGCTCTCCAAGTGTTTCAAGGGAACCGGCAGGCAGATGTCAGCACGCAGACTCAAAGCTGAATATGGATGCCGCTGGCAGAAGGAATACCTTCAAGGGCGCGAATCCTGCATTCTTTCTGGCGTGCTGGATATGCAGTTCAAGCTGAAGATTACTCGGAGAGAATTCAACGAGATTTCGAGTCCTGAGTTGGGGGCTGGTTGTGCAGGAATGAAGAAGGTTTAGTATCTCTGAATCTCGCAGTCTTCATCGGACGGGGTTCTCTCTGAGTAAGTAGGCTTGACCTGGCAAGTAATCGGAAAGAAGCCAAACTGTAGCTTTGAGCAGAGGAGAGAGGGGCCCTAGGACTCTAGGTTCTCTGGTTTGAACCAGGTTTTAGAACAAAAGCATCCTAGAGAACAGCTTCCGGAATTGGCGTAATTCGAGCGTTCTTTTGGCCCATGTGTTGCAACGATGTCCGACGTGGAAGCACCTCCTGTTCCTCCCCCTCAAAGAGTGGAGTTGCCGCAGGAGTGTAGAACGTCCTTCGTAAATAAATGGTCCTTCCTCGTCTGCCTGTTGCTAGGAGACTTTGTCCGCCCGTCTGGCCCGCCTGCGACAGGAGCGTCAGGATGCAAAGGTGTGGTATTGTCTGCGTGTCTACAAGATGTCTTGATTGTCTTTCGTCCAAAGCAGGTAGAAGCGCGCAGAGTCGCTAAGATCCTGAAAGCAGAGCAAAAACGACTTCGCAAGGCATGGTTCTGTCTGCTGCCCCGTCGAATGTAGATGTTTGAACTTGCCCAGGCCAAAACAGTAGCACGGCAGCTTTCTGAATCGCAGTAATTAACCCTTGTCGTTTCTCACACGATGGCGCGAATGTTTTAACGCGCATTGAGCCCGGCACTGAGAGTGATCAGCGGTCAGTGAGCTTCGCTGTCGCCTCTCTGGTGTTGAACTGTTGCCCCAGCAGCGAGTATCTGTTGAGCAGTGACTAAGCTCTGCCAGCTTTTAGTACGTGAGTCAGTGAGTGTGAATGAGTGAGCTTTGCTGCGACGAACGGCTGCCTGCAGCGCGTAAATTCTTCTTCGGTGTCGGGTGAGCAGTGACCAAGCTTCGCTCTTTCTTTTCCAAGGGAATGAATGTTTACGGCTTTGAGCCCGGCGTTGAGAGTGGTCAGCGGTGCGAGCCCTGCCGAAGCAGTGGGTGAGAGAGCTTGGCTGTGACCCGAACTGTTGCGTGGCAGCTAGTAACTTCTTCGTCTTCGGTTGAGCGTGAGCGGTTCAGCAGTGTGCAAGCCTTGTCTGAGGCAGGGCACGAATGTTTTACGGGCTTTGAGCCCGGCACTAAAAGCGATGATTCTGCGGAGTGGGGTTTGCCATCTGGCAATGAGGTCTGCCATCTGAGCCAGTGAATGTATGAGCATTGCCCAAACTGTTGCCTGAGCAGCTGGTAAACTTTCCGGCTAGTCAGTGACGAAGCCTTGCTTTGACGTAATCCCAGCCTTCTTTTCTGAAGGCCACAAAACGTGGTTGCGTTGCGGTGTAGGGTTTAGGATGAGTAAGTGAGCCTTGCTGTAGTCCATGTGGGCAGCCAAAACTCTTTGTTGACATCTAGCAGGTTTTTCCGAATGCACGAATGTGAGCCCGTCATATCATGCTCATTCGCTTCTGAAATGTTGAGCCTGTTGCAAGGTCGAAGCTGAGCGCCGTAGTCTTTTACGTAGAGCAACGCGCAGCATGGGAAATCTGGATCCGAAATTGTCCGCTTGCAGAAAGCTAGGACAGGCAGACTCTACTTGATCCGCCGCAGTTTGATTCGAGATTGTATGCTGCAGGGTGTGAGGATACAGACGAGGGAACCTGAACGAGCCCAGAGGTGGCGGGCAAATGATTTCACCCTTAGGACAAAGCCGGTGGTATAATACTCAGCTGCCAACTGAGTTTGATTGACTCCGGCATGTCTGGGACCTTCCACCGTTCTAATAGTGTTATACTACCCAAAGGGTGTGTAAGTGGGTTCCCTTGGTTTTTGCAGCAGATGGGGTGGGTTCCCGTGGGTTCCCTTGTTTTTTGCAGCACTTCAGGTGGGCTACATATGGGTTCCCTTGTTTTTTGCAGCATTTCGGGTGGGTCTGTGTATGTTCTTCATTTAGCTTTCTTGTAGATTCCCATGGTTTTTGCAGCATGGACGGTGGGTTCCCTGTGGGTTCCCTAGTTTTTGCAGCATTTTTAAGTGGGTTCCCATGGTTTTTAACAATATCGACGGTGGATTCTCTGTGGGTTCCCTTGTTTTTTGCAACACTTCAGGTGGGCAACATATGGGTTCCCTGGTTTTTTGCAGCATTTCGGGTGGTCTGTGTATGTTCTTCACTTAGCTGTCTTGTAGATTCCCATGGTTTTTGCAGCATGGACGGTGGGTTCCCTGTGGGTTCCCTAGTTTTTGCAGCATTTTTAAGTGGGCTCCCATGGTTTTTCACCGTCGATACGGTGGGTTCTCTGTTTGGTTCCCGGGTTTTTGCATCATTTGAAGTGGGTTCCCATGGTTTTCCAATAGGCTCTTTTGGCTTTTGCAGCATGTCAGCTGGGTTCCCTGTGGGTTTCCTAGTTTTTGCAGCATTTTTAATGGGTTCCCATGGTTTAACAGCATCGACGGTGGGTTCCGTGTGGGTTCCTTGC